TATAATTTAAATAAAATTGTGTTGACTTTCGGTAACAGAATCTTGTTTCGAAAAACTAAATACAAAATTAGGCGAGTGCCAAATTTAATGACGAAAATAAGTATATAGAAGTAATTAGCGCTAAACACCATCAGAGTCAGAGCTGTTTACGAGATGTCATAAATATGTTTACACCTTATCGCATCTATTTTGTTTAGTGTTCGTATGTAGCACTATAAACCTTGTTAATACTTCGCGTCCACCTACACTCTATATGCGCCCTTACCATGGTATGACCACTCTGAAATACTTTTATTCTCGAATGAGTGAGCTCACTCATTCGCAATCAGTGCTCATTTGTGCGCGGTGACAGCCAGATGTTGCACATTGGAACTAACGCGCTGAAATTACCAAAAAACTCTCAGAATGCCATCGTGTGCCTTTCGAAAGTGCAATAATAATTCTAGAAACACAAATAAAACCCAAGATGTAACAAACATTTCACTCGTAAGTATCTATATTTTATTGAATTTATTTTATTCCGATGTCAGTAAATACCACGAAATAATTACGGCCAAACGGAAACTGTGCGACAGAGAAAGTAGTATACACAATTTCCGTAAGATAATAAGAGATGACACTGTTGTCTTAGTACTCTTCTAATAACCAATTTAGTTAGATACTCGGATGTACCTGTATAATAGCGTACTGTATTATTAATAATAATAATACAGACAACACTGATCCCTAAATATTAATTTATATCATTGGTTAATTAATCAAAATATTTATTTAGATATTAATAAATTTGACCACCTATTAAAAATTTCACTAAATGTACAAGTATTACAAATAATTTTAATGTGATTATTCTGCGACCCAAAAAGGAAACTTCTAAATCGCGCGATACGGTGACGGACTAGTGCATTTCCAGCGACACGGGTCTCTGCGAACATCTGGGACGCACTACAGTATCGTGGCTGACGAAACAAAACGCGGAACGAATCAATAAACTGCACCTTTAGCCTGCGGTATTCCTATTTAGTGTAATTCGTCCACAGCTGAGGAGTGTAAAGTGGCTGACAGTAAGCCGAAAACAACGCTAGTTTAGAGGCATAAGAACACCTTTGAAAGCGTCGAGCTATCATGTCGGCACGCACTGACAAAGAACGTCGTTCGCGGTCCATGTCATAACCATCACACAGATCCTGAGTAACAATATGACCCAAGTCACGGTAATAGACAAAATTACCGTGCCCAAGTATCTAAACGTCGTTACCCACTCCAATTGCAAATTAGACAAATACACTGGGGGGATATGAGGTTGAACCCTACCGTTCTTTAAAAGCAAACAAACAGACTTCTTGGTGTTGTACAATAGGTTATGATCCATCGAATATTTCTCACATATCTGAATTAGTGCACGCAGCGCAACAATCGAGGGACTCATCAGAATAACTCTATTTATTAAAGCACTCAGAACCAATGCGGCAACCTAGTCTGGTGCTTCTAAGCTCCTTGATCAGCTGATCAATATATAGATTAAAAGAAAAGGCGATGCTAGCCCTCCCTGCCTCAAGCCACACTAGGAGAAATTCCTAAGAATATGTATCACACCATTTTACTATATTAATTTGCGGACTATACCATGAGATCAATATGTTAATATTGCTTGCTATTGTTTTATCGACCTGAGTAGGGCTTTTGACAGAGTCAATTATGTAATATACATAATTGACTCTGTCAAAAGCCCTACTCAGGTCGATAAAACATGCATAAATATTTGTTTTCCGCTTATTTTTAGATTTATTATAATAACCAACGGTTTGCTTTAAAGTAAAAATCGTCGTATCCGTAGAGCTATTCGTTTTAAATCCAAATTGATCATCGCTAATATCTATATATTTGGAAATAGCACCTAATAACATGGTGTCAAACAGTTTAGCACAAGTTTTAGCTATGGATATCGGTCTATAGTTGCAACTGTCGGTCGAACTACTTGATTTACATTTAAGACTTGACTAAACATGACTTATTACTGTTTTAAGCATATATACCGGTATGTAAGCATGATTTAGACAGGCAGGTCCCCCAAACCGAAGATATTCCACGCTTATATTATCATATCCTGTCCCCTTTCCTAGTTTCATCTGGAGCAGAGCATTAAAGATCAATGTCACACAATGTCCTTCCCATCTGCTACATAATATTCATTATGAGAAGTACAATGTCCTGAACTTAACGCAAGAAATTTGTCCCTAAACAAGTTTGCAATCGCCAGTGTGTCCGTCAGGCCATCCACACACTCCGTAATCTTCGACCAGTCTTAAGCAAATTTCCCGTATCTTTCCAAAATTGACTAAAGTTTCTACTTAAACAAAATGCCGAAATCTTATCTATGATTTAATCAGCGGAATTTTGGCAAAACCTTAATCTACTTTTAAAAATAGTTCGCGTAATTTTCATTTCATCGAAGAGCGGACCAGAAGAAGGCGCCCCGGCCGTTAACCACCCAGCTCGTGCTCGCGGTGCCTTCGTGTGTACCTCGCGTACATACTCATTTCACCCTGGAATAGGCGACCTCTGGACAACATGCTGTGACAGACGACGTATGGTCGCGCTTTTTATACAACTAATAAAAGAGTTATACAAGCTATCCAGGTATTCGCGATGTTCAGTACACGGACAGATATTACACTCAGCAGATAAATACCTTAACCTCTCCCAATCCAAATTACGTATAAACTCAGAACAAAGAGAGGAATAAAATTCAATTTCGATACCATTTTTTTTACTCCATTTTGACAAGTCATTACATTTCTGTAAAGCGCTTATTACATTATACAATTTTTAGGAAATCTAATTAGGAAGTAGGAAGGTGTAATCGTAGTTAGAACAGTTAGGATCCGATTTAGTCAAATTGGAGGTCCCAATCGCTCTACTTCCTAAATTGTTTACAATTTAGGACAGTGTAATCGATACGTTACGATTTAGAATAACCAGTTGGCGCCCGCGCTTTGAACTTTGATCTAAGTGGAAATATCGTGGCTTCTTTTTCAATATGTTTGGATACCAAACTTAATAAATAATCAAACTGCTTAGAATCAACTCTTAAAAAATTCATTCAGTCGCCAAGTTCGAACAATTGCACTATATTCATATTGGACAGTTTTTTTCTTCTAACTACGATTACACCTTCCTATTTCCTAATTAGATTTCCTAAAAATTGTATAATGTAATAAGCGCCTAACAATTAAAGTCGTAAAATTGGTTTCGTCACAGAATTACGCAATACTCATAGTACCATACATATTTTAGTTTGGTTAAACTTATTGACTTGAAAAGTACAAAGACAAACTATTATTTTCACTGTATAATATTAGTAGCTACTCAAATGTTTTTATACTAGTTAACCTCAGAAACATCCATTTTGTGATTTTCGATAAATCTCACTATTAGTATCTATTTAAGTAGTAATTAGTTAGGTAGGATGGGGTAAGACAATCACGGGGGGAAGACTATCATAGTGTAATAACTCATTATACACAGCTTCCTACTCTAGTTTGTTATGCTAGTAAAGTAGGAAACACTCAAAAAGTTCTTGGCTCAAAACACAGATGTCGCTACTTTACGTAAAAATGGTGAACATGACACAAATCTAAGTTGACATTTGAGGAAGCAAAACACGAGGTCGGCGTTTAGTGATAATAATAAAATTTTCTTGTGAAAAAGTGGTGAATTTTAAACCTTACATACGTAAGTATAATTGCAATAATACTAGCTTTTAAGTAATGATATTGGTACAACGTAAAGCCAATTGATTTAAAAAATATTGATAAAAACAAATACATAACCTCTAAATCGCGAGGTGGGGTAAGACTACCAGTCCACCTGGGGCTAGACTAACATATGGTAGTCTTGCCCCAAGTCATGTGTTGTAAACATTTTTTTAGGAACTATATTTTTAAAAATTATTATCCACGGTACTTATTTTTACAAATTGGTTTGACGTTTGGATGGTTCCTAATATTGTTATCTCTCTGCATATACACAAGTCATTATTCGCTTGCCCTTTTTTCCATTATTTGGGGTCGGCGCAGTATGTCTTTCTCTTCCATTCCTCTCTATCAGCCGTCGTTTCCACGCTAACACCTTTCACTCTCATGTCAGTCCACACAGTCCATCCATCTTTTCCTCGGTCTTCCTCTGCTCACGTATACGTATCCGTCCACTTTCAAATTCAACACTCGTTTTGTGACATACCTTTCATCCCTCCGCATCACATGCCCATCCATGTCAATCTACTTCCTCCCAACTTTTCTGTCACTGTTTACTTTCAGGCTCCCTCTTATAAATTCATTACGAATTTTATCCATCCTTGTCACACCACACATCCATCTCAACATTCTCATTTCATTCACATGCAAGCTTCTTTCATCCTTCTTCTTGACTTTTCCAAAAAACATATTTTATCCAGATATATATTTACATTGGGAGCAAATAACTTCTAAGTTGTAAATAAATGTATTACTTACGTACGTGAATCAGAAATATTTATGATTCAAAGAGTAACGTATATATAAGTGCTTATTTGTTACTTTATGCTCGCGGGAGGCCAATGGGGGGTTCAGTTTGTCTGATTCTTTCACAGAAAGTTGTGGTCGGTGTCAACGGATTCTGTTCCGCAGCTTCCTGAACTTAACGAAATCGGCTTTTCCATAAATATTGCGCTTGGTGGATATTTTTTTTGTATGGGAAGCTATTTTGTTTCGCAGGTTTGGGGGAATTGCGGAGCGGAACTTGTTGTATTGATAGCAACCCTCTGTAAATGTATCGGGCTGAGTTCCCTGTTGATTTCTCGTGAGCGTGAATTGGTAAATAGGTGCATATATATATACGTTATTCTTTTCCTTTAAAAAAAAAAACAAGATTTTGCTATTTGTATTTCAGATGAACGCAAGATGGTACGAAATAATGTCCGAAAAACAGATAGAGCAACTAAATATACGCGTGATGACTAGTTGGAAGCTATCGGGAAAGTAAAAAGTGGTGAATTGACGGCGTACAGAGCCTCTATTGCTTACAATATTCCTAGACCAACAATAGTAGCTCGAGTGTATGGTAGATATGGCGATAAATCTGATTCTTTAGGAAGATGTACAGTTATTCCAATGGAAATAGAAACAAGATTGGCAGAACACTTACATCAAATGGAAATATACGGATTCGGTTTATCAAGAACAGAAATAATGGAGTTTGTTGGACACTATGTAACAAAAAACAACATAAAATATCCTTTTAAAAACGGCATCCCAGGAGAAGAATGGTTTATGGCTTTCAAAAAACGCCACAATTTGGCCGTCAAAAAACCACAAGCCGTGGAAAATTCTCAGAAAAAGGCCTGCAATCCTTGGATCATATACTCCTATTATGATTTGCTGAAAAAAACAATGGACGAATTGGAATTACACGATAAACCTTCACAGATATGGAACTTAGACGAAACGAGTTTTTGCAAAGACCCCAGTAAAACCAAAGTAGTGGGTTTGTAAGGATATGCTTCTACTAGAACTATTGCATCACCTGGCAAAAGCAACACTACGGTTTTACTGGGAATTAGTGCCGCTGGAGACAAAACACCCCCACTAATTGTTTATAAAGGGAAAGACATTTGGGACCAGTGGATGACTAAGGATGACTATCCTGGGACTAGGTATGCAGCGACCAAGAATGGTTGGATGGAAACCGATGTATTTGAGAGATTTTTTGAAAAAGTGTTTTTGCCGACAGTGGGTCAAAAACGACCGATATTACTAATATATGATGGCCACTCAACCCATGTAGGATTAAACATAATAGAAAAAGCACGTGAAGCGGACATCACTATTTTGAAAATCCCAGCACACACCAGCGACAATCTGCAGCCGCTAGATTTGGCAGTAAATAAGTCTTTTAAGGACAAGTGGGATCAGGCCCTTGTAAAGTGGCAAAGATTGCATGTGGGTGAAGTGATGCCAAAAAAAGACTTCTCAAAGCTTATTGGCGAAATTTGGGCTCAAGTAGATCCTAAAGTTTGTGTTGCTGGGTTTCGCAAAGCTGGTATTTATCCTTTTAACAATAAAGCAGTGCCAGAAGAAAAATTTCACCCAGACCAACTTGCGAAATATAAAAAACAGCTTTGCCAATCCAATGAACCTCAAACTCAAGACCAAAGTACTCAGCCAACTCCTGGCCCATCATGGGCCAAAGAATTATCCAAGAATGAAACTGAGACTCCACCCGTGAGCAACACAAGTATCGGTGTTCCATCGTCATTACCTTCATTAATTTCCATCTGTTTGAAAAAAGTAAATGATCATGATAAAAAATGCTTATCTGTAAAAGACAAACACCATTCTGACGCCGAAACTGCTGAAACTACACAGTCTAATGATTTCAATGCTAAAAAAATTACTATTATAGATGATCGCCTAGTAAAGTGTAAGTATACTTTTGAAGAATTGTTGCTTCAGAAAATAAAATCAGGATCACCACATAACAAAGAAAAACGTACAAAAGTTCCTTGCGGTGCCGAAGTAATTACAAGTGAAGAAGTATTTAAAAAGCAAAAACATACTGAAGAAGAAAAGATGAAAAGAAATAAAGAAAAAGAGGAAAGAATAAAAAAAAATGGAGAAAAAATTATTAAAAGACATAAATATAAAAACTAGTAAAGAGAAAAATAAAGCAATAAAAAATACGACAACTGAAGGAGGCGGAAAAAACACTGCAAATGTTAAAATATTAGAGAACAACAAAAGCAGAAAGTCTAATAAAAAACGTAAAGAGACAAACTTCGGCAAACAGTAAAAAGAGAAAACTAGACTATAATTCAACCAGTGAAAGTGCTGCTGACTTAGAACTAATGGATGAAAGTGATCTAGAAAATTTAGAAGATATGTTAGATAATAAGGAAAAGGATCTAGAAAACTACAAAGAAATTTTAGATGATGTGGAAAATTATCAAAATGACGATTTACAAACAGAAACAAATAATTCGGATGATTATGATGATCTGCCCACCAGTACTGTTGTTACAGGACAATGGGTTTTGGTAAAATTTACAACAAAATCAAGCTTAAAACATTATGTAGGAATAGTTTCAAGTGTAAACTATGAGGGAATACCAACGGTGAAGTACGTGAGAAAAAGTGCTTTTAGAGGCAATGATGATAATACTGCATTTGTTTACCCTGATGTACCTGACGTTTGTGAGCTCAGACATCTAGATGACATTGTGTGCAAGTTACCTAATCCTATAATTGGGCGAAGAGGAAAAATCTTTTTCAAGGTTTCCTTTAAAGGATATAATATTATATAAAAGAGATTTTTTTTAAAGAAAACTTGCAAAATCCTTATGGCGCGAGCAGGATTTAAAGCTGCGACCTTCGCTATCAGTACTAGTACTCAGTGTCGCAAGTTCGAATCCTGACCGCGGCATAAGAATTTTGCAAGTTTTCTTAAAAATTGTTTAGGTAACACAGTTTAGTGTTTTAAAATTGGTATTCAATACATAAGTAAGCACATAGATATTTTAAGTTCTCGTGAAAAAATTTAAGTAAATTGAAGTAACAGTCCTATTCATACATTATGGTGATAAATATAAAATTAAATACTTAAGTAAGTAGGTATAAAAAATTAGCCATATGGTTATTCCAAAGAAGTAATGCAGTTTTCTTTTCTTTATTTTTTTGTGTAAGAAATTACTTAATTGATGACTTTTTTTGCTATAAGTACATTTTATGCCATTTTTTTAAACACATATTCCAAAGACGTAATGCAACGTTGATTTCTTTCTTTATTTTCTTTATTACCTAAACTATTAAATAAATTGACTGCATTATTATAATGTCAATTTATGTTCTGTCTGATATTAAAGGATTCTAAAATTTTTGGTAATTTTATTACAAGATTTCCCTGGTTCTACACTGAATTTCATCATATGTTAGTCTTCCCCCAAATAAAGAAAAAAGGTTCTGCACCTCTAATTTTTGTCATATGTTAGTCTTCCCCCAAACAAAGAAAAAACTGAGTAAGTACAAAACTGGACCTTATTCTGTATGGCATAAAGTTAAAATCTAAGTAACAACTTTAAATGTAACGGTTTTTCTGACTGAATAAAAAACAGTCGTAGTCTTACCCCATTTAGTGGGGCAAGACTAGCAGTTCGAATAGTCTTTAGATTTCCCTTAATAAATCAGATTTGAGTATACTTGCGTAAAAATCAAAACACTTGTGTAAACGTGTAAAGAAATCTTAATTTAGTGTAATTATTCATTTAACAGTAAGATGTGAAAATTCACTATAAGAACAGATCTTTCATTTCTTACAATAAACTATGTTAGTCTTACCCCACCTTACCTATAAAATTTATTTATGCCTACTAAAATGAAATAACAAAAACTAAAAACTGTACATTAGAATATTCAAATCAACTATGAATTCAATTAAATAATTATATAAATATAAGTTATGTATTATAATTTAATTTAAACAAGAAATAACAAAAACAATTAATAACAAGGAATACACAAACTACAATTAACAACGAGGTAACAAAAACAATTAACGAAAATAAACTAATTAAAAAAGTTATCACTAAAATTATTGCTCTGATGTGTACGGAAGCCGAATGATACGTTCGAAACCAATAGACGACGAGAATCGATTGATGAACCAATCACGTTGAACGTCTGCGTGGTCAACGTTGTATCGACCAATAAAAAGTGTGCTCACGACTTATGTCGGCAATTATATATATACGGCCGTGGAAGGAAAAGGGGAAATCTCCCGCCAGGCAAGGTGTTCTACCCGGAGAGTGGCTAACGCTCCGAGTGGTAGTAGAAATATTATTGTTACAAAATTTTATTACGTAGTTCGGAGCTATTCTATATATACTGATTTTACTTCGGAACTTTGATAGCGCGATTTAGGTTTCGATGATTTTGCTTGTGGCGCGACGACAGCGCCGCTACATATGTACTGAATTCGGGGGCGAAGATGATTTGCAGCGTTGGCTTTGTAACAGTTTCCTTTCTATTTTTTTTATTTTCTTCTTAATACGATTTAAAGAATTCAAATCGCCGCATTTCCTTTTCGGCAATTTTTCATGTTAAAGTAATTTTAACGCTAATTTTGAAATTCAGGCACTATATAATTTATACAAAAATTAACACCGTTGCAGGACGTGCGAAACGGCGGAGCTCTGAAATGTGAATGATGAATCGAGCGCAGTGCAACCAAGATCCATGGATCCATGATCCATATTAATCTACCGTCTTGTTTTATTTTTACTTTAAACTAAGTGCGTAGATGGCGACATTGTACGAGTATGTGGAACTACATTTGTTATGTAATCTGGAAAAGTATGGAGTGTAGAAGTAAGGAGTACAGACTGTGTATTAAAAAGTGTCAATAGAAAACCGTTAAATAAGGGTGGCGCCACTATAACTACGGGGTAATTTAAAGAACGTGCGGAAAAATATTAGTGGGATAGACGACTTTTTCGAAGTAAATATAATAAAAGTAATATAAGTAAATATATACTAAATAAAATTATTTTAGATTTTAGAGCTACTGAGCAGTTTAGCAGCACACTTAAACCGTCGATAACTGCTAAGTTCATTTCATCCCAGTAGCTACTCCAGCGCTGTTGTGGATAGTTTTTGACTTTTTGAAATGTTGTTTACTGCTTACAGATGGCCACTTTTTCAACTATCCTAGTATGGGAGTTGGTACTCCTAAATTCTACACTCCATATGGAAAACGAAACACTGAAGCATAATAGAGTTTTTACTGTCATGTTAGATTCGTATACATATACCTATACGTTGAATACGTATTGGTATTTTTTTTAGATTTTTTTCTAGCTTCATATAAGTAGATATAATAACTAACACTATTAATGCATGGAAATCTACAAGCGTGTTTATCACCAGAAATCTATCGTTACACATCAAAATAAAAACCTGTTTTTCGTGTTTGATTTGGTAAATTTGTAATACCACAGTATTGGCGTAAACAAATAATAATAAAGTACTTAGCAAATGCGAATGCTATAATTTTGTAGCTTTATTTTAAGTAAAATCAACCATAAAGTAATAGGTTTTAACGTTATTTTGTAAGAATAATAATATTTTTATAATTATATGATTTAGCATTTACGTGTAATTTATTTAATATTCGTACGAGTCCGACAGTTTGTAAGGTATTACATACCTACCTATTCGAGGCTAACCTCGAATCTATGAATTCAGAACATTTAGAACAGGTGCCAGATCTTATTGACTCCACGGAGGTAGCATTGGAAGCCATCTCCTACCTTTCCTCTCATATCAAGGAGGGGCGACGAACGATCGTCCTTTTAGTTCCCCAGGTAGGTGCGACAGTTGCTGAGAGAAAAAAACGCTGCGGTTAGGGCTAATGACCGTTATAGAACCGTCACTAATAGGTCCAATTTGCGCCGCCTCTGCAGAGAGCTCAGGGAGCACATGGCTCAGCTCAGGGATGTACATTGGGACAGACTGTCTCTCGCCTTCACACACTGCCTATTGGCAGATGGAGAGAACTCTGAAAACAGAAAAGGTCGCTCTGATGCTCCATTTAGTTAAACCTGATGGTCGGTTTGTTTGATGACTCACTACCGCCTGTTACCTTCGATGTGGTTAAAACCATCATCAAGAATCTCAGACCGCGGAAAATCATCATCATTACAGCCCTTCACAAGTCCACTTCTGAACACAGGCCTCTCTCCATTCATCAACTTACTGCATGTCTTACCAGGTCGTCACTCCATCTAGTGGGTGGCTGCACTGGATCGAAAATAATGTTTCAAAGACAAGAGCTTTTAAGTTATAAGTGTCGTTTTTTAAGCTAAGCCATTTCGGCTTCTGTTTATTATTACTATGGTAAAAAATGTCACACGCAGTAATTTGGCTTAAAACTGAAGACTTACGATTTTTTATGAAAAAAATGAAATAAATGTATGGAGCAAATACAAAAAAATCTGTATAACCTTGGAATCGCAAAATGCGCGTTATATCCTTACAGAGGGTATAGTACTAATTATTTATGATTTTTTGACATAATTAATATTACGGAAAATACTTTTTGTATTTGTTTTAATTCAGAAAGATTATTGATATGGGTTTTCTTTTTTGCTAAAAAATATGTCAGAAGACCTTGCATACGTCTTATGACACTTGTCTTTACGATACGTTCAATCATTCTTCTCTAGGCTGGGATAGACTACTTTGCCCAGTAGCGCCTAAAGCCGAAGAAAGCTTGGCTTCAATGATGCGACAGGCTACCAATTCAGCAATGTCTGTTTCGCAAAGCTCCCGTCACTGGTTTCCAAATAGGTTGTTAGCATGGATTCAGAGACCTCACGTCATCCCGCTTTTACTTGCTTAGCTGTATAAGTAGTAATATTAGTCTTGGTAGATTTTTAAGAGATCTCCTCTATTTCGTTCATTCCATTATTGCCTGAATCCACTGGTTCTGTAGGATTCGCATAATTTTTATGATTATTATGATGCTTATGCAGTATGATTTCGTATGATCTCTGTAATCCGGCCGGACAATGGGCTTCGGGGGAGGCGGGTGGGTGTAGGTGCGGGTTGCCATGAGTAAATCAGTCTTCTTCTTCAGTTTATCAGGCGTCGTCAGTCTTTTGTTTATCGTCTTTCGTGTAGTACGTACGCGCCGCCACGTAACATTCAACATTAACAATAAAAGACAAATTGCGGATTATAGAAATGTTAGGTAAAGATGACAGCTACTTGTCATTGCTTGGAAGTTTGGTATGGGCAGGTCAACTGTAGGCGACATAAGAAAAACCAAAGACAAAATCTTGAAGTTTTTTAGCCTTACAGAAAGTGGTCCCGGTGAATTCAAGAAGAATTATGTTTATTATTATTATATGTTATTAATGTTTTATTTTAACTTACTGTTTTTCTAACGTGGTTGTAATTTTGAACATGTATATTTTTGTCTTTATGCTTTAATTTGAAAATTAATTAAAGACACTAAGGTTAAACATGTGTTTTATTACCACTAAATATGGCATACTATAATCCGGATGCCTCGACAATTCGGAAAGGGTCTTGTTTTTGCCTCTCCGGATTAACAAGGCCCTACTGTACTTGTAAATAAAAATACATTATAAGAGACTTGTTCAGTTTGGAGAAACTGTTTAAAAATTATTAAAATATATTAGGTGTATATAAAAAGAAAAACCTTTTTTAAATACTAATAAAGGTAGATAGGTCTGTTAAGTGATATTAATGTGTCGGTGTGTGTATGTGTGTGGTGTGTAAGTGTGTAATATATATTTAAACAATACATATAGAGTAGGTATTATTTTGCAATAAACTGTACACTACAATCTCTTAAAATGTTCATTTATTTGATAAAAAAGTATTCAATTCCTAATACAAACTGGACGGCTCGCTCAGTCTTAATTATAACATACATAAAAGTAATACACATTAAATTTATCATAAATATTATTTTAATAAGGTGACCTGTTTTTTCCAGAAATAGCTTTCATATATTTATTACGTCCTCTTTAACCCTAACAGCGAGTTATTCAATAATTTCCGGTAGGTGGAGCCATAAGTTTCATTCCTAATTGATTTCGGACTGTTTTAAAGGTGTAAATTCTAATTATAAATAGAATAAAAAAATGTATGTAAAATGTATTAAAACGCAACCAGAGTATTTTGTAATATTATTTATAAATCAACTAATATTGTGGATATGAGTAATCTATAAACTAATATAGAATTTGTTAATAAATTGACTACAGTACCACCTGTGCAATCCTAGCATAGAGCTATGAACAATTCTCTGGATAAAACAAATATATTGCGTAAATATGACCTCAATTGGTGATATCATTCAGAAGTTACGCAATAACAATCGGACACACCAACATTTATTTAAATATGGACGTATGAGTTCTGACAGTTTTTGTTATGAAGATTAAATCTCTGCTATAAGAACACTTACTTTTCTAAAAAAAAATTGCGTCCTCTTACTGTATTTACATTCCTATATTAACATGTTATTTAGTCAAACAAATATTTTCTTTACATAGAGCTGATAAAGTAAACAAGTGGTCTAAACATGTTTAATATAATAAAACCTTGAATATTATAATATTTTTTGTAAGTGTTGGGTCAACTATACTTACTCTTTTAATCAAATAATGTTTCATCAATATCTTCTCACAAAATGTGTCATTAACTTAAGTTAAAAGGCTCCAACAACAAGAATGTTTTACCGTAAAATTCTACAAACTAATAAACATTTTAATATTTATAGAACATATTCTACTAGCAAAAATATAAAGTATCACTTTTAAGAAACAAAAAGGATGTTTTTTAAAATTACCACATTTTAATAATAAAGTAAATGTAGGTATATATTAATTTTAAAAGATTAAAAATAAAAATCTAATCTTAAATTTTATAACCCTGAGATTCTTAATCATAACACATTTATACATTTGTACGACATTCATTTCCTATTTGTCAATTTATGATGTATATCCACAAAAAAATAGCTGGCAGTAGTATTTGAATAAAATTTAAGGCAATATGCCATATGAAAAATATAAAATAGGGATAAGTTAGTTGATTAAGTAAGTATTGTGAATGGTATTTGTGATCATTTTACTACTGCTTAGTAGTAACACTATAAAATGTATAAAATATTATTCAATTTATAGTTTGTTAATTTATTTTCATTGTTATTTAAAAAGTTATTTGTTTTTCAATATATATTTACTTTATTTATTTGGATCATTTGTTATTTACAAAAATATTTGGAAAAGTCCCCAAAAGTTATGTAAAGTTCCTTAAACAAGTAACATTATTTTTTTACAATTCCAGTGTAAGAGATACCTACCTCCTCCAAATTCATTAAAAACACTTGGGACAATTAACAATTACTAAGCTTATACACAAATTATGAGAAAATATTTAAAATAAATCTGGATATATATGACAAAGTAAATATGACAATATGTACAGGACTTATCAAAGATGATGAATTGCACCCGTCTTTACTATTGCAAGTGCAGTACTCTATGATGGTATTGTTAGTTCCAGTTCTCATCAAGCAGGATCTTTCGTCACCTTGAATCCCAGCTTCACCTAAATAGGCACAATCTCTAAAATAATGCCATTCACCATTTACTGCAAAAAATATACTAGTTCAGTAATTGGTTCTAGTTTACAACAGCAATTGAAAATTCAGCGATGCAACATAAGTTTGATTTTGAGTTGACTGTAAATTAAAAGTATATTAACTCTGGCCTTAGTTAGAACGGGTCATAAACATAGTTTTTGTATAAGTAACTCACAATGCTGATTTGTGAGTCAAAAATAAACAGTAGTAAAAAGCCATTTAAGAAACCCCTATGGAAAACAATCCGGAATAAAAACAACAAACCTTTTTGACGAATTTTTCGGCACATGCTAGATTTTGTACCAGGTAAATGTGCCAATCCTAATTTTTCATCACACTCCATAACTGGAATAGTGGTATTATCAAATGGATCAGCACAATTCGGATCGTAACTAGATCGACAATTCCAACATTTAATACAAAAACCTGCAATATATAAGTTAGCAAGTTAAAAATATTATTATTTGAAAGTTGCTTATCATGAATGTAAAACTGTTGTTCAAAATTACCTCTGTCTATGAAGAAAATAAGTAGTATAATTGAAATTAACCATTTTGAAATTAATGACATTTTTTCTTAAATCTAAGTAACAAAAAACAATTAATCTGAATCTGAAGTAGATTACTGGAGCTGGACTCTGTAGTGTTTCTGTATATATTACTCTATTCTATGCTGTAGTGTCAAAAATCAAAATAAAAACTAGTAGGCATGAGACCGATATATCAAAACGTAACTAATAACGTTAAGTTATTAAAATATCATATCGTATCGGTATACCTAAGTACATAACCGTTATCACATATCCAACCAAAACCAAGAAACCAAAACGTACGAAAGTTACGAAACGTAAAACGCAAACTGGTCATTGAGTTATACAACACTACGATAACTATATGCCAACACGGCCCACGAACTAATCGATTTCCTTCGTTGATATTTGTTGTTTCTCGTTCTTGCAACGGTGTCATAAATACGTATAGAAAGAGATGAAGCGAATATGGATTTCGTTAATAATTAAAAAATTACTTCGCAGATACTAGGTACTTATCGACGGCAGCGCGGCTATAAATTCAACAAATTTTCAGGGACAGGCGGGCTATGCTTTATTAGCACGTTCTTAAGATGATTAAAATTCATTGTTATGCGAATAATAGGAAAAATATTCAAATAATCGGTAAAAATATTCTAATAATCGAATCATTCATTTCTTTGATGTGTTATTTGTTTAATTTAATTTTTATTTTCAAAATTCCTTAAATTAGATGAACCATGAATAAAACAAGTTTATTTTTTTCACTTTGTCAAAGTAAATTTTTGTAGGAATTGATATTACAAGGCCGTGCTAAAATAACCACTACATAATTTCAATATCCCGCTATTTCGGTACCAGTTACTCGACTCCACAGAATCAATAATTCATTTTTGAAGCGATGTATATGCGTATATATTTTATAACAAAATACCAGAAAATATACAAAATTTGACGTAAGTACACAAAGTTCAAAAACTTTATTAAACTAAGTTTGTATAAAAAGGGTTATTTTAATATTAAGGAATTTATGGGTGATAACAACCCCTGGGAAGGGTGATCGCTACCAAGCTATTTCTAATTTGTTTTGTGTTGTTAATTGTAACACGCATGATTGTAAGCTCTTATTTTTTTTGAACTAGTCCCGTTGGGTTTCTTGCTGGTTATTCTCAGAACAGAGGTTTTTTTTTGCGAACCAGTGGTAAATAGGATGTCTTAGGTGTGCGTTGTTTGTGGTTAGCAGTGGCCACATACAACCGCCGGTACGACATACTCCGCCGATCGTTGAGTCCGCTGATTCCGTGAGGCATCGAGGTCACCGGCCCGTAGGCAGATTCTTAGGCGCTTTAAGACGCTCGTGTCTATCGTGCCTAGTCGCGTACTTAAAGTGCCGCCACCGCACTTCCCCCAACCCTTTTGATATAAAAAGAGTGGGCAGTGCCCATAGTGTTGAAGCTCATCTTTTTGTCATCACCACCATCCGCGTCGCGCAACACCAGTTGCTACCGATCGGCTGGTTATTAGATAGGGCCTAGTAGAAGATTACCGCTGACTCAGTTAGGTAGGGTACCAACTTGTCAGGCAAGGATAAGGGGAGCTCCCCTAATTCAAGAAAACCACCGGATAGGAAAGGAGTATTGGAGCGTCCACTTGTAGTTAGGGATCTGGCGAACCCGGAACGCTCAAGAGTAGTGTCTTCCTTTTCGCAGATCCCTACTAGAAAACCCGTCTCGCAGCGGAAGGAGCCCGCACCGGGCGTCGCGCTCACGCCGGCCGTGTCTGAGTACACGGTCAGGCAGGAACCGTCGTCCCAGCAGCAGCGGGCAAAGAAAACGGCCAGACGCCACACTCCACCCGAGACCGAGGCCTCTTTATTTGAAAAGAGGCAAGGAAGCGGTTCCAACTTATCTTCTTCCGATGTACCAACATCCTTATCGGAAGACGAAGACCATCACCAAGCGGCTACGAAGAGGGTGCATAAGTCACAACCAAAGTCGCCTTCACCACCGCAACCCCCCCGCTCCATGTCACCGTACCGGCGTAGCCACGACTCGGCCCAGTACGGGCAGGGGGGTGAAGAATCTTACAGCTGGGGGTCCACCACGTATGCGACCCTTGCAGCATCCGCCGGCCGATCATCGCCGGTGCAGATAACCAATCCGTCCGGGCGCCCACAGGACGATGGCCAACGGCCATCCACCAGTTACGCCATTATGGCAGCAGCACCAGCAGTGCCATGACCGCAAGCGGCCGCAGAGCCAGCTGACAAACCTGCTGACCAGGAGAGAACCAGATACCCGCCCATAGTGTCCGAATGCCTCCCGGATTGGAGGCATTTCAAGGAGCTCAACAGAAAGTTGGGCCACCCTCCAAATGCCCGCCCATTCGGGAGAGAAGTACACTTCACATCGCAGAGCGCCAACGAATTTCGAACCATCCAGAAATACATGGTCGAGCTCTCCAAAGACTTATCAACACTGTCGTGGTACTGCTATACTCCGGAGGAGGACAAGCCCACCAAAGTGGGCATCCGGGGTCTACCAATGGGCACGGACACCAAATCTATAGAGGAGGCTATAAGGGCAAAAGGCTTCCTCATTAAATACGTTAAGGCAATTCCACGTTAAGAGGACGGGTAGGCTACCGTAACAGGGAAGGGCAGGCAACCAGCCCCCCCCCCCCCCACCCGTAACACCTATGGAAACGGTGAAACCCAAAGGAAGCAAGGGCAACCACCGGGGCCACTCTACAGCCCCCCACTAATGCCGCCACAGCGCGGCAGACCTCTAGAAGGAGGAAGCGGGCGAGGAGCAGGAAGAAGTCGCAACCTTCTCAGGCTGTCACCTCTACCCCGACACCAGCAGGACCAGTAGCCTCACAGGCGCAGGTTGCTAGCGAAATTCCTAGGAAGAGCGTGGGTAGAGTGCCAGAAAGGGCTCTATCAGAAAATAGAGCCCGCTCTACACATAGAGCGCGCTCTACCCACAAGCAAAGAGTGCAAGAAGACCAACGCCCGAGACCAGTGCCAACGCCTTCATATAGGAGAACACCATCTGCCGGCTTCGAGACAGCTGACGCCATCCAACGTTTGGTTGGCATTGCTATCGAAGTCGGCAGTCAGGTCCTGGCCGACATAAGAACTGGGACCGATCCGATAACAGCGGTAATGAAGGCGCTGGCAAACCTCTTGGCCCGGCATTATAGAGTAGAGTAACCTGGCCTCCTCTATTGGAACCCGGACGGAATACAGCAAAAGCTGCATGAACTCCGTACAGTCGCCCAACAACAGGACATACAAGTCATCTTGCTGGGAGAGACGAAGCTAAATCCCAAGACGCACATAAAGCTGCCAAACTACCATTTATACAGAAGGGACGAGGTCACTTCTCAAGGGGCCGCCTACAGAGGGACGGCGATTCTAGTGAGGAGGGACATCGTCCATCAAGAGCTGGATTTACCTGCATACCAGACATTGCGCTCTATCGGCATAAAAATGGAGGCGGCGGGCGAGGAACTAAGGATCTACGCAGCATACGGCCCGCCAGGGACTCCATTCTGCTCCTCAGACGTCCGGACGATAATGGAAGGCGAAACACCCACCATCATCGCCGGGGGACATAAATGCCAAACACCCGGCGTGGAGGTCCAGAGTGATCACCCCGCTGGGTCATGCACTATACGAAGACTACGTCGTCGGTACTCGTACTGAACGGACGTATCGAAGCGCTCTCGCGTGACCACGGGTAGTGATTTTTAATTTTTCTTGTGTCTTTTAGTAGTATTTCGTTAAAATAGTTGACTTTTATTGTTGTTTAAACTTTATTTTGTATTTTAATTGAACTGTGCAGTGTGTGTAATCGCTTTTAATCATTTTTAAACATTTTTATTTGTTAAAAACACGTGTTAGGTTAGGTTAGACCACGCGGTTACCGCGTGGTAGCTTTAGGTTAAGTACACTTATTCTATTGCTGTGTGTATTATTCTGTGTTCGTTTGGATTTTTAACTGTAAGTACTTTCATTATAATTAGTGTTAATTTAGATAATAAGAACTGAACTTGAATAATAGGTTAGATTGTGCCGGTGCTGTTTGACACTGACAGCTGTCATTGTAAAAGACACTGACAGTGACTTTGGCAGCTGTCATTGTGGGTGACACTCCCATAGACAGTGACGTTGACAGGGTGACCTGTCATAGTTCTTGATAGGTTGCGTTCTAATTCTATATTATATAGTGGAATTTTTTTAAATTAAAATGGCGGATGACGATGAGGGATTTACGCCCAGGAAGTCTTTGGCTAGGACCCCTCCCGGACCAATCGGCCGGCCGGTTGCGGTGCCCCCCCCACCGCCAGTAGTGCCGGAGAAGCGGCCACTGGCTTCGCCGGAAGAAATGCAGACATCTTCCCAGCGACCAAGGGTGGGCAAGCGCACTGAGTCGCGCCGGAGTGTGGCACCGGTGGCAGGCTTATTGACAAGAAATGTTGAGGAGTCTGCTACAGAAAACGAAGAAGAAGACTGTTTCAGGGAGGCAGCTCGTGGTGTGAGGGGGGAGCTTCAAGGCTACCACCGCCTCGAAGCTGGAGGTCATTGATCAGGTGCGGGAGACCGTGAGGGGGATTATGACCATTATAACCGGACCCGGCTCCAAGCTGAACAAGGCGGAGGTGAACAAAGTGTCATCGTACGGTCATGACCTCATCGCCATGGTGGCGACTATGGAAGTCCACATCTCCGAGCTGGAGCTGGCCAGACTTCGAGCGGAGAAGGAGAAGCTGGTAGCGGAAGGGAGACTGGCGCAGGTCGAGGCCGGAACAGTTCCCTGCCACATGACGACCTCGACACCGCAACGCTCATACGCGGCTGCATTGAGGCTGCCCAAGGGTGCAGACCAGGTGCTGATGCCTGTCAGCAAGGGCCCGGTAGTTGCATTCTATCCGGCTGAAGCTGAGGGGCCAATTAAAACTGCAGAGGATACCAAGCTGGAGCTGAAGAAGGCGGTGAACCCCAAGACCAGCGGCCTGCAAATTGATCGACTGAGAA